GTTTATGTAGAGTGGGTTAATAACTAAAATATTTGTTATTCTTTTCCTCTTGTTTTCCTTGTTCTTTGTTTCTATTTTTTTCTTCCACTCTTTATTGGCCTTCTGTGGTTTTAATTGGGCGTTTTATATAATTCTGTTAACTCTCCTTTCTTCTCCTTTCTGTTCCATTATATTTCCTTAACTTTTTAAAAGTTTTTTTTTCTAGAGTTTGGAAAAACTCATTTACAAGTTATCTAAGCCCACTTTCAAGTAACATATACTGTATCATGAGTAATGCATGTACCTTGTAATAAAATTTTACTAATTCTTCTGTTCCTTGTATCACTGCTATCATTCTTTTCACTTAAAATAAGTATATATATATATATATATATATATATGCACATATATGAACATATTTTGCTGCTGTTTAGAACAAACTATTTTCTGTTAAATACTTTAAGAATATGAAAAATAAAAGTTTTTATTTTGCTTTAACCTGCTCATTCTCTAATCTCTTTCTTCCTTTATGTAGATCTGAGTTTCTGACCTAGATACTTTTTCTTTTCTCTTTTAACATTCCTCACAAGGCAGGTCTACCTGGCAACAAATTCCCTCAACTTTTCTTTGTCTGACAAAGCATATATTCCTTTATTTTCTAAGTTAATTACATCATGTACAGAATTCTAATTTGGTGTTTTTTTCCTTTTCAGTCCTTTAAATGCATTGCCCTATTCTCCTCTTGCTTGCATAATTTCTGAGTAGAATTTGTATGAAATTCTTATCTCTGCTTCTTTATGGGTAAGGCACTCCCCCCGACCCCGCTCCCCCACCCATGCCAGCTTCTTTCAAGATTTTTGCTTGATCTTTGATTTTCTGTAGTTTAAGTATGATTAGCAATGGTATAGTTTTTATTGGCATTTATCCTGCTTGGTATTCTCTGAGCTTCTTGGATCTATGATTTAATGTCTGACATTAAATTGGGGGGAAAATTTGTAGGTATTATTGCTTTAGATAAGAATCTGTTCTGTTCTCTCTTTGTTTTCCTTTTGATATTCCTGTTACACATATGTTACACTTCTGCAATTGTGCCATAGATCTTAGATATTCTCTTCTGTTTTTATTTTTCAGTTTTTTCTCTGCTTTTCAGTTTTAGAAATTTCTGTTAATATATCCTCAAGCTCAGAGATTCTTTGCTCAGCTGTATTCAGTCTATTGGTGAGCCCATTAAAGGCACTTTTCATTTTTGTCCAGTGTTTTGATCTCTAGCATTTCTTTTTTATTCTGTCTCTTAGAATTTCCATCTCTCTGCCAACATTATCCATCTGTTCTCGCATGGTGTCTACTTTTAACATTCAGGCCCTTAATATTATATATTAACCATAGTTGTTTTAAATTCATGATTTGATAGTTGCAGCATCTCTGACATATCTGTCTGCTTTTGATACTTTCTCTGTCACTTCAAACTATTTTTTGTTGTTTTGTTTTATTTTTTTATTTGCCTTTTAGTATGCCTTGTAATTTTTGGTGCAAAGGAGAACATTAATATGAATACATCTAATAACAGACTGTCAAAATATGTGAGGCAAAATTGATAGAACTCAAAGAGAAATTGAAGAACCCATTGTTATAATTGGAGACTTTAACATCCCTCTATTAGGAATGGACTGTGTTAAAGGAACTGTGATAAATAGGCCTTTCGTAGTGCAGTGATAAGATATGTTGGATAGTCGTAGCCTTTTATAGTCCTATGATTAGGTCTTAGTCGTGGGCTTTGAACTTCATCAATACTTCTCTCTTTCTCCATCACCCCTTAAGTGGTGCAGGATGGCTAAAAGGGGTTAGAGTTGGATACTTCCTTTCACCCATGTGGAAGACTAAAGCAGGCTGGATTTAGGTAGTTCCCTGCCCCGAGGTTGATTAGGCTCTGAAAAATCACACTAGGTTAGGCTTGAGTAAATTAGTCTCTTGAGGGCAGGCCTTGTTAAGGAGAACTGAATGCTCTGGCATAATTCAAAATGTCTTTTTTCTTTTCTCCTTCCAATGCCTAAAGCAAGAGGAGAGTTGTCTCTGGTCTTTGCTGTGAGGCCCTGGTAGAGCTCCTGGAGGTAAACTCACAAAAGTGTGTTTTCCTCCCCAATGACTGGGCCCCCCTCCAGCAGTTCATCAATTACAGCTTGTTTTCCTACTCTGGCACTGGCTTTTGTGGGGGTCTCTGCTCTGGTGAGTTGTGATTCTTTGCATTTGCTCATCTGTCTCTCTGGATTTGGGGGCATGGTCTGACGTGTGACCTCACTTCTCTGAGGTATCTAAGACAAGTTACTGATTTTCAGTACTTTTTCAGCTTTTTACTTGTTGTTAGGACAGAGTGGTGACTTCTGAACCAGGTTGTCCTCTATCTTTCTAAGAAAATGCTCCCAGCTGTCACATTTAAAGAAGCACATACACTTTTTCTGAGACCATGAATGGACAAGCTTTAAAAAAATATTTAAAGAAAAGAAGCTATTGATTTATGGTATTTGTACTCCTCTCTAATATGGTTGTAAGTAAAAAATACTTAACATTTGTTGTGGGTCATACTCACCTCTACTCAGGAACATTTTTATTTTCTACCTACAGCTTCTTTTCTGCTCTTTAAAAAATAAGATGTGGCTATAGCTCAGAATAGGAGTAAAGGCTCCTTTAATTATGCAAATCTACATGTCCTGCAAACTGCTTGTTTCACTCTGTATATGAGGGTCCCTACATGCAGAGATTCCTGAAGGGAGGAAATTAAACCTTTCTCATTAGGGAAAATTCAGCTCTTAGAGAGTGGTTCGTGTTGCTGAACTTGAACATGGACCTACTGTTATTAACAGGGAAACCGCTAGTAATTGTAATGTTTTTAAGTATTATAGCAGAATTTCCCTTCAGCGTTTCAAAATCAGAGTGGTTGTTGTCATTCCCCCCCAAATACTTCCCTGTGACATTGGGAGAGGGTTCTGTAGCTTTTGGACATAAAATTTTCTTTGAGCAGCAGTTCAGATATATCTGTTCTCAATTTATTCATCTGCCTACTGATAATTTTATGTAAGAATGATATATATTTTGAGGAGCAACAACAAATTTCTATTCTGTTCTCATTAGTATACAGTCAGGGTCCATTGGATCCAATTTTAGTTTTTGAGTTACTTTTGTGTGCAGTTTTAACTATTTGTAAAGATTAGTATTTCTTCACGACTTTTATTATTATTAGAGGTCTTCAAAAGAACAAGGAGAAAAAAATTTTTATACAACAAAATTAATTTTATCTTGTACTTATCAGGTTCTGCTGGGCTCTTTTATAAATCTAAAACATATTATGGGATTTCATTGGTCTTATTTTTTATATATCTTAGAATCTTTTGCTATTTTTATCATTACTCATCAGTTATTCCCAACTATGTTACAAAGAATAAAATTATTTATTTAAATAGAAGAATGATGGAATCACTTAAAAAGTGATCTATGTCATCACTAATTCCTGATATTCCAAAGGTTAAGGTTAAGGTATTTCTTCCTTTCTCTCTCTTTCTCTCTCTCTCACACACACACACCTCCCCCAAAACACCAAAATGTCTTTATTAGCTAAAATGAAAGAGAACATTGTTGATTATCTATTGTCTGCCAGACATTGTTTTAGGAACTTTATTTATATAGATTATATTATTTAAATTTTATAATATACCAATAAGTAATAACTATTACTTCTGGTTTATAAATAAATAAACTGAAATTCTAAGAATATATTTTTATATCTTATACAGTCTAGTATATTACTTTATACTATGTAAGTGTTCAATGAATTTTGATTAATAAGTTACATTAATTTGTTCAAGTAAAATATGTATTTTATATCCATATAAAGTTTTGAGTAAAATACATGTGCATTTATTAGTTATTAAAATGTTGAGCACTTACTACATATAAAACATCCCTGCCTTGAAGGCACATTCTAGTTTTGCAGAATGCTTAGACATAGAGAATAGTAACCATAATTCAAAGAAAAAAATTCTGTGACCTAAGATGACTGTGGATTTACTAAAGAGATGTGTCTTTCTTCTAGTTGGATGTATTTTTCTTTAATGTTAAATGTAACCCTAAACTTTATTATGTTCATAGCTCTTTCCATTTTTCATTACCACAATATTAAAATTTAAAAAACATATCTATGAAGAAATGTTTACATACAACCTACTGAGCTATGGAATTCCAGATTGAAAATATTTTAAATCTACTGGTTATGGCAATAATTTTTACTAATCCCTACCCACACACACACGCACACACACATAATTTTGTACATATCAAAAAATAATATGCCGAAATTTTTCTATATTCTATTTGGTTACTAATTATTCTGGTTTTACGAGCAGTAGAGCAAGAAAAGGTACTGGTGGTTCTCATTCTTGCTGAGCCTTTCTCTGAGGCAGTGTTGGCAGCTCAGGGATCCTGAATGGAAGCAACTAACTCTTGGAAAGATTGAAGACTTACAGTTAGATGGGCCTGGCCCTACCACATGACCTCAGGCAGGGAATTTAACTTGTCTTAGCCTCACTGTTGCAAGATTATCCTGAGGATTGAGTCAAGTAATGTCTATAGGAAGTCATTATCTTATGTCTGACATGTGGTAAATGTGCAAGTAGAGGTTCCTGGGATTTAGTTTTAGATCCTTTATACTCCAGAGCACACAAACTGACCAGAATCTAGAAGTAAGATATACCTGACGCTCAACGAAGGACATCCAATCAACCAGTCAGAGTTAAGGGAGGAGGTTTATTAAATCAGTATACAAATCCCTGATGTTATTATAATTACTTTTGAATTACTTTGCTTTACTCAAACCTGGGAAGCTGAGTTTATCAACACTTTAATCAAAAGAACCACTGAAAACACATATCACATTATGAGAAAGTAGAAAATTCTGATTGTGTAACTTTGTGTTTATTTGAGCAGGAGCATAGGAATGTTTTTTGAAGCAGCCGTATTTCATTATCTTACAGGTAAATCCAAAGCTGTTGGCAAAGTTACAGTGGTGGCCAAGAAAAGGGTAAGATCATGGGTTGTGATATAAAGTATACAGACTTCAAATTCCATTGATTAATACTATGGAAAAAAATTAAATGAATATTTAAAAGCAAAATAACAATTTTTTCTTCTTAATTTTTTCTTCTAGTTAGTTGACTATATGTTCTGTTTATTAGATTGACACTAGAAATTTAATACATATGGTCACCTATCAGTGTTACTGAATTAGCGGATGTTACGACAGTAGAAAATTTTAAGTTAAACAATAGCTTTTTTTTATATCTTAGTTCACATACATACTTTCATATACTAAAATATTTTATTTTTTTCTATGCCATGTTATTATAATGTGTGCAACTTCATAGAATGTATAAATTAATATTCACAACTTAATATAGACTTTACCTTAAGGTTAAGTGAGAATGACATCTGCCATTCGAGTGAATTTAAACCTAGAATCTTTTTAATGAAAATTGATAAAGTCAGTAGCATTCTTAAAGAGTTTTAAAATTTAAGTTGTCACTCTGTGCATTGTATGCACAGAGATGTTTAACTCTACTTACTGTCAAAACGATGATTGGGATAGAATTAACCTTGACCTTGTCTTCAAGTGACAATATTCTTAACAGGATACCACTGAAAAAGAGAAAGTCAATACTTAAATTCTTCTGGACAGATAGTATATTGTTGTCATAAGAAAAAGGATTGTGATCGAAAGGGAGGCCTATATCTGTGCTGTTTCCTGTATTGAGGAATGGGGTTGCTGCCGAGTGGAGACAGGAAGGGTAGAAGGTAACCTAGGGGAACAGAAAAGGATGCTGGGTGTGAACCTATAGGTGAGCAGGCAATGAGGTGAATATTATTTTTGTATTTTGAATATGTGTATTTTATGAGTCCTTTTAAAGTGAGATTTTATTTTATCCTTTTGCTTTTTAGTTTGTATTTTAAAAGGATCTGGACTTTTCACTTGTTAAGTAATATTGACATATTTTTGCAGAGAGGAAGGCAACACCGTAAAAGGCAATGTTGCCCTTTGAAAAAGAAAAGAAATAGGACTTGTGTGTCTGTCCAAAGATTTGGGCAGGAATAAGTGAGGCAGTACAGGATTATCAATGTGGATGGAATTGTTTATTTCACTCTCTGCTAAAGGACATTTAGAATAAAAAATGACAAAGATAATAATAACTTACTTTATTCTGTATTGCTTGATTTTTACCAGTGACTCTCATTGAAGGTGGCACTGTGCCTAGGACAGTGCTACTCATAGCGGGGTGCATGGGACAGAGCTGTTCTGGGCACTATTTGTTTTTGGTCTGCAATGAGATAAGAGCAAAGAAAATGAGAATAACCATTTAGAAATTTGTATAGTAATTTGACAGAATAATTTTTGTCTGTTGAATGTAATAATAAAATGGAACTTGTATTTTTTATGTCTTTGTTTTTTATTTAATTTTTTTCCTAGTGAATGTCTTTAAAAAATTATATAGGTCTCACATAGATTGGCATGGAAAACTGGTCCTAAACACAGGCAGTTTGAGAGACATTGCTCTATGGGCTGTTTTTGGGATTTGTGGAAATATATTTATAAAGACAGTATTTTGGAGGAATACAATGCATTTTTTAGGACAAAGGTTAAGAACACAAGATGTCTTGCAATGAATGGAGCAAAATGTATTAACAAGAACTGCCCAAGAGTTGGCATGACTTTTGAATACACTGCTGGACTCAAGAAACTACAGATATAACTATGTAGTGACATAATACAAAATAATATGGAAACACATTAGACAAAAAACCAAGGAGTTTATTATGGAGAGGGAAGCTGAAATGGAATAAATACACTGTTTTCAAAAATTATTGAGTAATTTATGTATTCTCTGCTCAACATATTGAAATATTTTCAACTATATATTTTAGCTGTATAGAGTAGAAGTGAAGCTCCTAAGAGTGCTACCTGTAAGCCTCTGCTGCTCTCATACTCCCCATCCTTCAGCTCTTCATCCACATGGCTGCCTCTACACAGATGTGAGTCGTGTAGATGTGCCCACCTGACCATACCGCTTCTTGATGGCAGTGATCTGAAAGAAAGAGACTAAGTCACACTAATCTCTTTGAGCCCCACTTAATTATTTTTTATTTATTTTTTAAATGGGAAGATCTAGATGGCTCTGAGTCCCTTCCTGCTCTAATATTCCATGAACTATAAAATATGTGTGACAGTTCAATAAGTACTTGCAGGATGTGAAAAGACTTGTGCAGACCAGAGTGAGTATCTGAGTTAATTTGCCTGGAAATAAAATATGTTTTTTAAAAGAGTAAAAAAGTAGTATGCCAGGAAGGCTAGAGGAGTAGCTGATGATGTTTCCTACTGAAAAATTTGTGTATATGTATGTGTGTATATGAATATATTCAGGAAACAGAAAATTGTGGTGGAAAGAATACAAATTATGAATGAATGCCTTCAAGAGCTAGTTTTCCTACTTAGTTGTGTGATGTTAGGCAAGTTAACAACACTTCTGCACCTCTTTGAATTAATCTCTGTGTTGGGAACAATAATAATCACCTTGTATGATTGCTATAAAGGTTAATAAGAAAAGCAATTATAATAGCATATAGTTATTGTATTTTAGTAGGTGCTTGTATAATAAATGCCAGTACTTTTCTCCCTAATTTCTCCTTAAAAAGAGATAGGAAATAAGGATTTAGGGACATTTAAAATTCTCAGACTTGTGATAGCATTATAGTTCTATTAGATAGTTAAGATTATGTAAAAGTCTTTTTAAAAGGAGGCCCCACATTTTAATCATGATTTATTTTTTCAAAGTAATATAATAATATTGTATATGGAGGAGAGAATTTTTAAAATCATCTAAGATTTGTCACATTTATTAAGCTAATTTTTATAGTTGCATGTTTACAGTTATTTATACATATGTTTAAATATAACATGTATATGTACTTTATTAACATGAACAGAATGAATTTAAACTCTACTGTTTCACTTAATAATATTTTGTTGACATCTTCTCAAGTCAAAGGTCTGCCAAGTCTTAAGTGGTTGCACAGCATTTTATTTTATGGAAATCTCTTAATTTATTGAACAGTCTCCTCCAACGGTGTCCAACCTTTTGGCATCTCTGGGCCACACTGGAAGAAGAGTTGTCTTGGGCCATGAAATACACAAACACTAACGAAAACTGATGAGCAAACCAAAGGTCTTAAGTAAATGTAGGATTTTGTGTTGAGCAGTATTCGTAGCTCTCCTGGGCCACGTGTGGCCCATCGCTGCAGGTTGGACACCCCCTAGACATTTAGGTTGATTTGATTTGCAAAATTACAAATAAAAAAGCAGCAATGTCATTGTGCACATCTTTGTAAGTGTTTGTGTAAATATTTCTATAGGGAAAATTACTAAAAGTAAGCTCTCTGGTTTAAAGAATAAGCACATTTAAAATTTTGCCAGTTTGCTGATCATCTGTTACCGAAAAAATCTCACAACATTATTGTACCAGTTGCAGTCCCATGATTAGTTTAGAGGAAAGACTAGACTAGCTTAGTTTGCCAGTTCTTGCTATTTTATAGTCGATCTTTTCTTTCTTTAAATGTGAATACTTTGTCAGTATGTTGCAAACATTTTTCAGTTTTTCTTTTAAATTTTATGTAGTTTTTTTGCCGCACTTGTATAATAAAACTTTTCTTTTGGGGCGTCAGAGCTTTTGTGACATGCTTTACAAGACTGCTTTTTCATTAAAACAAAATATGTTATAACTCACTAACCTTTCTCCTATTGCTGCCAGTAACATTTCAATGTAAAAAAAAAAAGCTAAAGCAAAATGAATAAAGTGACAAGTTAGGTGATAGAGCCAGGATTCTCTCTATTCCTTTGCTTCAGTTTTTTTTCAATGTAGAATATTACATATTTCTAATTAAGGCTGTCCCAGGAATTTGTTACTAATGGGAAAAGAATCTCTTTTTCATTCTTTTTTCTAATTTTTCTGGCTTATATATAAAAATTATGTACATATATGTGGACATCTTTTTTTCTAACATTCTACTTTTATTAATACCAAAAGTATAACTTACACACTTTGGAAGACAAAATTAATGATCACTCTTTTGATTTATACATTTATTTATGAGGAATTTAGGCTGTTTTTTTTCCCACTGAAAAAATACTTCTCCCTGAAATTATTGCAGAGATTCTTCATAATAAGCAGGGCATTTTCTTTAGCCCAATAGCAGGATCAGTTGCTTACATTTTATGACTAGGTGTCTGGATATTTGTGTTAATTAAAAAGCTTGCTTACTAATTTGGAATTCATATATTGCAATTCACTTAGCTTTATATTCTTCTTTACCCAAAGATAAATATTATAATAGATCCCTAATTCTGGCTTCTAGCCCCAGAAAGAGAAAAATTTCAGAAAGGACAGTAAGCAGAGGAAGACCTTGGCAAGAGTCTCAGTCAGGCTTCAAAACTCATTTCGTTTCTTTTTGGCTTCTACTTTGTGGGCATCGTTCACTTTTCCTTAGGCCGGTGCTCCCCAAATGTGAATCACACAGGTATTCCATCACCACTTGCCCTGCTATTAGTCACTGTAGTGGTCTTTCATTTGACTTACCTTTTCATGTCATTTTTTTTATTGAGGTCAGATTTAAACATGTGAAATGCACAGATCTTAAGCATAGACTTTGATGAGTATTTTTTTAAATTTTATTTTAATTTATTTTTCCTAATACATTTGTCTCTCCCTACCCCCCACCACTTTCCCTTGCCCCCTCCCTCCCTTCCTCCCTCCCTCAGCTCTTCCCCTTTGGTTTTGTCCATGAGTCCTTGCTATATGTTCCTTGACTTTCCCCTTCCCTTCCTTTTCCCCGCCCCCCCCTCCTTTCCTCTTGTCTCTGTTGATTTCTTTTCCTTTCAGTGTTGCTGGTATTATTTTCCTTGCATCTTTGTATTGTTGGTTAGGTTCCACTTATAGGTGAGATCATATGGTATTTGTCTTTCACCTCCTGGCTTAT